TAGTGACGAGCTAAGTAGAACAATTCAATTATTTCTTTATCACAATTTAAAATAAACATGAATTAACATGTAAATTCCATCAACTCAATAAATGCTACAAAGAAATTAATGGGTGAAATGCAGCAACAACAAAAGCAATGAATCCTCATAGCAATGTCACTCCATCACTCAGCACTCGGCTCTCGGCACTCGCACTCAGCACTTAACACTCAACACTCAATAGGTACCTGTGCTCACTGGGGGTGTGTACAGACTCCGGAGGGGCTCCCAAAGCCCAAGCGCTAAGCACGGACAACTCACGTGTTGCACGGACAACTCACGTGCCATAATATCAATCCATGGATCTGCACGGTCAACTCACGTGCTACGTGGACAACTCACGCGCTATGATATCAATACCTGGATCCGCATGGATAACTCACGTGCTGCACGGACAACTCACGTGTTGCACGGACAACTCACGTGCCTCAATCAAATACCTCACAACAGGCCTCAGCCTCACTCAGTCATGTACCTCTATAGCCTCACCATCATCAACAAATAAGGGAAACACAGCCCACGTCAAGTATCACAGCATATCAGCAAAATAATAGGGACTGAGGTAAACATGTACAATTATATCTATGACTGAATGCAAATAATGTGAGCATGAATAAAGCCCAAGCATGATCTCTAATATGAAGGCAAACAAGTTCAACAACAAATAAACACATAACCACAGATAATAGCCATTAGGCCTCACAGCCTCACGGGACGGACCAAGTCTCAATCCCTCGCGGTGCACACCCACACGCCCGTTACCTAGCGTGGGTATCACTTCCAAACAATCACGTGATGTCAAATCTCCGGGTTTATACCCTCAAAACCAGAGTTAAAACTGTTACTTACCTTAACAACGTAAAATCCTACTTCGGGATACCCTCGTCTCTGGACTCTGTCTCCAAAAGCTCTAAATCTAACCAAAATCAGAATACTACTATCAACATAGGCTAAAGAATCGAATTCCACAATAAGAACTACATAAATAGGCCAAAATCCAAAATCGTCCAAAAACCGGCCCTCGGGTCCACGTCTCAAAATCTGACGGAATTCACAAAACTAGGAAACTCATTCACTCACGAGTCCAACCATACTAGTTTCACTCGAATCCGACTCCAATTCGATGTTCAAATCCCAAAAAATTATTTTTTGAAGTTTCTACAATTTTCTCCAAATTTATACCTCAAAGTACTAATCAAATGATAAAATCATTGATATATTCATGAACATTAACCAAATTCGAGTTAGAATCACTTACCCAATAAATTTCTTGAAAAACCCTCGAAAAATCGCCACAAACCGAGCTCCCTAGGTCCAAAATGTGAAATAATGCCCTAAACCCCATTTATTTAGTGCACTCTCTGATCTCCACTATGCTGACCGTGAAAATCCAGGCGCGGCCGCGAAATCCAACCCCTGCGGTCGCGAAAAAGTAGCGATGTTTGCGCTTCTGGTGGTTGTAGTGATAGGCTTTAGTATTTTGGCCATAACTTTCTCTACAGTTGTCCAAATGATAATTTCTTAAGCTTTATGGAAACTAGACACGAAGGGCTATAATTTTCGTTTTTGAATCATCTCAAAATTCTTTGTAGATCAAAAGATATAGGCTTCCGAAGTCAGACCAACGAATCTACAGATCTGCCCTGGAGCGCCTCCGCGACCAAATTTATGCGGTCCACGCCCCCTCCTCCGCCCTTATCGTAATTTTGCCGCCGTCCGCGAAAATTAAGCACCAGAACCATGCATGAGTTCCGGTAATGCCCGAACTCGCTCAAAACTCATCCGAAATACACCCGAGGCCTTCGGAACCTCAACCAAATGTGCCATCAAGTCCTAAAATACCATACCAACTCAATCGAGCTCTCGAATCACCTCAAACAATAACAAAAACATGAATCGCACACCAATTCAAGCTTAATGGACTTGAAACCCCAAACTTTCACAACCGATGCCGAAACCTATCAAACCTCGTCCGAATGACCTCAAATTTTGCACACACTTCACAAATGACACTACGAACCTACTCCAACTCTCGGAATTCCATTCCGACTCCGATATCAAATTTTTCACTGCCGACCAAAATTGCCAAATTTCTAACTTTCGCCAATTCAAGCCTAATTCTACCACGGGCCTCCAAATTATATTTCGGACACACTCCTAAGTCTAAAATCACTCAACGAAGCTAACCAAATCATAAAAATTTAAGTCCGAACTCGTTTACTCATAAGTCAACTTCCGGTTGACTTTTCTAACTTAGCTTTCTAACTAAGAGACTAAGTGTCTCATTTCACTCCAAAACTACTCTGAACCCAAACCTATCAACTCGATACAACTCAACACAGTTGAACAACACATAAATAAGCAGAAATGGGAAAAACGGGACTACAACTCTCGGAACGACCGACCCGGTCGTTACAAAATCTCTACCAACGTCAACCTTCAAGAAACTAGTGTACAAGATTGGGATGCGAAGGCTCAAGGATGTGAATTGATACTCTCATCAAGGGGAGTTAATACACGTTGTACTCTTTCTCCCTTACAAGATTTTGTCCTACTAGGTTTTCCTTGCAAGATTTTTAACGAGGCAACCAAAATGCGTATTTCTAAACATGTGTACTCTTTTTCCTTCACTAGGATTTTTTTCCCGTAGTTTTTTTTCCTAATAAGGTTTTAACGAGGCACATTATCTATAGACATCCAAGGGGGAGCGTTATAAGAGAAAACAAATTATGGTGGATGTCTATTCTTCCTCCATGATCTTCTCAAATGCTTAATGATATATTCAATGACATATTTTTATTCATTTTTCATGCATATATAAAGGCCTTGTAATAGATAGAAAAATACACACAATTGAAGAAGAAATAAGAATCTCTCTTCCTCTCTTTCTCTCTATATCTCTTAGTTTGTTTTTCCTTGTTCGATATTGTTACTTTGGGTTATATTTCATAATAGAAACTTAATTATGATTTTATCAACCTTCCATATTCCTTATCAATATGTGTAATGTCGTCATATTGTAATGTTGCATGTATTGTATTGTATTTTATTGTATTTGAAAAGTTATAAATTGTAAACATTGTATATCCAACATAGGTACAAGAGTAAAATTAAAATTGATCTATCAAATAGTTGTGGATGTTCGTCATTTTTATTTAAAATGTCATTTCACCTTTTATGGCATTCTTAACTCGTAAAAATTCAGTATATTAGCTGAGTGATGTATTCAAATTAAACGGTGAAATGAATTAAGGAAATCATTTTATCCCAGGGAAAATCTTGGCTATGCTGCTACGCTGAATTATTAACCGTGTTTTGTCAAACACAAATGGAATAAAAGAAGACTAAACAAATAATTTTATTGGTAGACAATAAATCACTTCACAATAATAGTTGCTAGTAATTCAATTTTATGAATAGAAATTACAGAAACAAGAGTAACAACACGACAAAGGAGGGAAAAGGCCAAAGGAGCGTCTCAAACTCCAATAAACCAGCAGACTAATCAGTGATGAAGCTCAGCATAGATTCCCTACTGCCTGTTCAATCAGTTGCTCTCCTGAAAACCAGAGATTATTAGGTAAAAAAGAATATGTGGAGACAATTACGAAAATTTAGCAGCAGCTCCAGTGCGAAAGAGAAGAAATGGGATGCTCTGATAATCGGCGGTGGCCACAACGGCCTTACATCAGCCGCATATCTCGCTCGCTCCGGTCTCTCCGTTGCCGTTCTCGAGAGGCGCCACATCATAGGCGGTGCTGCTGTCACTGAAGAACTCATTCCTGGCTTCAAGTTTTCTCGTTGTAGTTACCTCCAAAGCCTCCTTAGACCCTGCGTTATTAAGTGAGACACCAAATTATTCAGTACTAAAATCATTTACTTATGATAGTCGTTTATTTATCGGGAATGCGTTATGATTAATAGAGAATTGGAGCTGAAGAGACATGGATTGAAGCTATTAAAGAGGAATCCTTCATCATTCACGCCTTGTCGTGACGGACGTTATCTTCTGCTTGGTCCTGATAAGGAGCTCAACTATTCTGAGATTTCAAAGTTTTCTAAATCTGATGCAGATGCTTACTCAAGGTTCTGTATCTTTTTATACTCATCAATTAAGGTGGTTTACTTTAACTTCAATGATAATTTCTTTAACAGCTTGTTTGGATCGTTGTTACCCATTGTATCGTATTGTATTGTTTTACCAAAACAATATTTGTTTTGATTATTTAGTTAAAATTGATTGTATTGTATTGTTAAATTCATTGTTCTTGAACAATGAAAAGTCCCATTTTTTGAAACAACTGATTTGGTGTGGTGGGATCGTTTACTATTTTTCTTTCTAATTATGTCCTAAGTTATTACTTTATAGTTCTATTTTACCCTTTACCTTTTTTTATTTTAAATAATAGCAAAGTCTCTTTCTCATATAATGTTATAATAGAATTCTACGTGAAGTCTAATAACCTATATAAATTCTCAAAGACAGCATCCCAAATATAAGCTATATACGTGAAGTCTAATAACGTAAAAATCTCGTTGCTTCTGCCGCTTCCAAACTCTTCAGGTATAGGTTTTCCCTAACTTTTGTTTTATTCTTTCTTCTACTTTGATTTGTAATTCCAATTCTAATTTCTTTATCTCCAATTAGCTTTATGATATTGGTTGTTAGGAAATATTACTTATGATCTAAATTCTAAATGGAGTCTACTTAACATTTTATTTTATTTTTTTATTATTATGATCTAATTATGAACATAGTGTACTTATTATTATTTTTAATATTATTAACCTGTTCCACTAATTTCGATAGGATTTGCATGAATTTAATTACTTAACTTATATATAAGACATAATTGATGATAAATTAGTAGAAAGTGATTTTCTTAAATAATTTGTATGTGTAATTCTTGATAAATTAAATATTTAAAATAATGGAGGGTATTTTAGTAAACTTATCAGTTACTGTACAGTACGATACAGTCAAACCAATCAGCAAAATGTTATTTAACAACAATAAACAATACAGTCTATCCAAACATTGTATTCATAAAACGATACGATACAATACAATACAGTACAATACGATACATTAGAAAACGATGGGTAACAATGATCCAAACAGAGTGTTAATTGTTTGCTGCAACAAAAAAAAAAAAAAGAGGCAGAGCTTGTGCCTTTTTAAGAGTTTGCTTGTTAAATAACCATGTTTACTACAATGGGGGTTAAACTTTAAGCTATTCATTCAGACGAAAAAGCAGTTAATTTAGGCGATTTAAATGCTACAGGGCTAGTGTGAATCTGACTATAAGATGGAGATAGATAGACGTACAACCATTTATGATCGATTAACTCATAATACATCACTGAGAATGCTTTGGTGAAGCTCGGATTATGACTATGATTGGAAAATGGATATCGGGGGTAGCTTAAGTCCAAGTAATTTGAATCAAGTTCACAGTTCTTTTATAATGAAGTTTGTGTACACGCATGGAACTAGAGGATAATTTAGGAATTTGATGATTGAGCTTGCTTAGCATTCTAAAGTTTTGTACAAGAATTTATATGTTAGTTTGTAGCTGCTTACCATTTTATCTATTATAATCATATTCTAAATTTTGAGTTACCAAGTGTCACCTAATTATAGGTATGAGAGTCAACTAGACAAGTTCTGCGAGTTTTTGGACCCACTTCTGGATTCATCTACACCGGAAACTTTACAAGGCTCTTCACATCTCAATACTCGTATGAAGCACAGATTACAAAATTCAGCCTTTTGGGCTAATTGTCTACGCCGAGCACTCCACTTGGGACAAAAGGACCTAGTGTAAGATGTTCTAGATGATCATGTTTGTGGAATTTCGCTAAACTTATAGTATCATCATTTAGACAGTCTAGGACAACATGTAGTGTAAAATAGTATGAAGTCTTGCCTTCATTTGTCATAGTCCATCCTTGTTAACTTGTTTCAGCTGAACTTTTCAGGGATTTGATGGACCTTTTACTCGCCCCAGCTTCGAAGGTTTTGAATAACTGGTTTGAGGTTGTTACATCTATAACTGGTTTGAGGTTGTTACAACTGTTTAGTTTTTTCTGTTATTTTTCTTTTACTCGTTCTATCAGCCTGCTTAAAATCTATTATGTTTGATATGTGAATTTGTCTATCGGAAACGGCCTCTCTGCCCTTCCCAGGGTAGGGGTAAGGTCTTTGTACACACTAGTCTCCTTAGACCCCACTTGTGGGAATTCACTGGGTTTGTTGTTGTTGTTATTGTTGATATGTGCATTTGTCCAGTCCTGGACAGCTAAATGTAACATTTAGCTATGGTTTGTAATTATTTACTTTGGTGATTAATAAAGTTGTTTAATTACCAAAAACAACTATGTAAATTTGTCTAAAGGTTCAAGATTGTGACCCAATCTATGCTTTCTATCATTAATTTTGTCGAGTATTCTTTTGTCCTTAAATAGTGTAGGAACCTTTGATGAGTGTTTTCCAAATTCGGATTCTAATTTTAAAGGCTAGTTGTTATTGTAGTATAACCTTTTCTCTTGGTTTCTCCAAGCTTTTCCATTTCAATTGTATCCTTTATCATTTTGGCTTTTGGCACACTTGTCTTACACTAGATCAGAAGTAGCGCAATTTGTCCTTAATGGAGTTGGAGAGGATGTTTGTTATTTTGTCCAGGGCAATAAATTTTCTTAATGGTAATGACTGGGCCAGCTTGCACGGACTTCGACTATTCCACCAGGAACCCCATACCTGTTGTCTTCCACCAGCACAATTAACGGATAACTCTACTTACTAATGTTTAGACAGATAAAAAGAAATTACCTAGTATTTTTTGTCTCGGCTGAAATTTGAACACTGGTCTCCTAGGTTTACACCCACTTCATTGACCATTAGATGACACTCTTGGGTGCTTGCTGCAATATCTTGTTACTCTTGTCTCTTTGTCCACCGATATTCATTTATTCTTTCCTCAGTCCATTATAAATGCCTTCTTCAACTAGGTCAAATGTGTTGTAGAGGGCTCGGGCATAGGAGCATGCATGATATGTCTCATTAAAATTTGATGTAAAATTCTCCAAGTTCGGGATAAACAAAATCTTTGGAATGAACAAGATTTTTCAATGGATAAGAATCACTTTCTTCTGGTGTATGTAGTAATTAATTGTCTTGATGTACTGGAAGCTGCTACTGCATGAGATTGTGCTGTGTGATTCTTGTTATGAAGTGTGTTCTTTTAAAGAGTGAAAAGTTGTCACATTCCTCAAAATATTTTTCGAAGAATTCTCTTACCTCTTACTCTTCTCTCCTTCTGGTATCACTAGTTTACTAATTCCTTGACTGAAATATCACAGACTGATGTTCTGAAAGCAACTCTTGCAACTGATGCAGTAATAGGGACTACGGTAAGCTTTTTTGGCCTGTATTGTTCTCAGAATGTATCCAATTAAGCATGGAGGTGCAGTCAATTGCTGTGTGCATGCTTTGCATATATAAGGAGTAGTAATGTGTATCTAGGATCTAAGTTGCGAGAACTATATGATTGGGCATTTCTGAAAAGTAAAAGTTTAGCTATTATGCATTACCATCTATTTAGTGACAACGATGGAGTGACTTAAGTGAAATATGTGTTTAGTCATTGGATTATGTAAATTCATGTCTTTGCAGCAAATATTGGAGGTTTCACGTGGCCATGGTTTCAGATTTTTTTTCCAGCTATGCTTATATGCATATATGACCATATCTTTTACAAGTTTTTTTCCATCTGCATGAAGTAGGAGGCTTGAGTATCTCTTGGCCCAATCTGCAACGTTTACTGAGAACACTGTAGGATTAAGGTTCTTTTATCTCTAGTCAGTAAGGAAAAAAAAACAGATTACCTTAATCTTCCTCAGGTTTGTCATTCTTCACGTTCTCATCAATTTAGTGTATGCCAGCTGTGTCATTAACAAATGCCAATCCAAGGAAATTCTGATTAATATTCTTTATCTTGTTAGCATCAGTCTGCTTCCTACTTACTCCTCTCTCTCTTTTTCTTTTTCGTCTGTTAACTAAAAAACTCATAGGCAAGTGTCCATACACCTGGAAGTGGATATGTGTTGCTACATCACGTGATGGGAGAATCTGATGGTGATCGTGGTATTTGGTCGTACGTATACAACATATATGCTGGATTAGCCTTCTGCAAAGCTTTAAATACTTCTGCATTTTTCGAGAATCATTTGTTCCATTTATCTGAAGGATTCTGCTTCTGAATAGTTGCTTTAAATGTTCCAATTATGTAATGAAATATTCATCGAATTAACATAGAGTTCTGTTTCGTTTTCTTTCTTGGGAAGAATGGATCTTTCTTTGTTTTCATTCTTTTTAAATCTAAGACCCTTTACTTTCAGATTTTTCAGTGTTCTACTTTAGTCATACTAGCAAATGATTACATCTAATGACTTAGCTGCTTGTTGTAGCTTAAGCAAAAGCAGTAGACTGTTCTTTATCTTTTCTTTTTGTGGTGCCCATTTAGTGCACTATGCTTGGTATCCCTCTTTTCCATCAACTTCCTTATATTCCCAGATGAAGGTTTTATCTGAGCACACATATATTTGAACTAATGTTCCATGCATTTTGACTATTTAGAGAGATAGGACTTGTTCTCTTCTTCCTTCAAAAGCTTAATTAACTTGCACACTCAAAATATTTTATGTGATGCTGTTTGATTTCAAATCCTGAATTGCCTTCCTTAGATAAACTGGGTGATTTTATCATGTCCTCTCTTAGTAAGTAAAATAAAAGCTTGACTGCTGCTGTGACATGTAGGTATGTTGAAGGGGGAATGGGCTCGGTGTCATTGGCTATAGCTGCTGCTGCAAAGGAGGCTGGTGCATCCATATTGACAAATGCCGAAGTATGCTTATGCACTGTTATCCGTTCAATGATAAGAGTTGTTGGCTTTTGAGTATCTGACATGCATCAAGAGCTTTAGATGCTCTCTTAGTAAATTTGCTTTATTTATTATTTTTGGGGTTTTATTAGTGAAAGTTCAGTATGTTTGAAGGCATGTGGCAGATTGTGTCAGCCATATGCCTTCAAACAAAATGCTGTGAAATTGAAATAAACCTGAAAAAATGTAGATACATCTTGCAGCTGCTAAAGGCCTTTATATGAGAGACTTGTGATTCCGATGTTATGGTAAACCTTCATCAACCCACTTTGTCAGTAACTCCTTCTTCTAACCCAGTAATTTTTTATTCGATATTGTGACTTCCGATTCCATCAACTCTTTACTTTGCTGTTAATTTCTGGGTGTAATACATCGGATTTTAATAACTTAACTTCTATCTTCTAATAGCCTTAGAAAGATTAAAAAGATGTTTATCTATTAATTATTTAACGTTTAATAACATTGATTATTTATCTTGAATATTAAGAGAATATGTATGATCACACATATCTAGATTCATTGAACTTGAGTGAGGAAACTATTATAGAATTTTGTATGACATGTTCAGGAATTCTGTATTCAATTGTAGAATATTCACTTTATTAGCACAGAGAATGATTACCTGCCATATTCTTTGTAGCCTAAGACTCATATATAAGGAGCACAACTTGTACATTATTGATTTATCAAGTTATTATTTAGGTTTCTCTTATTTTCACAATTTACATATACCATCTCCTTGGTCTTTGCCTTGATTGTATTTGAAGTTGTTTCTTTTGAAGAAAATTGACTGTTGTCCATGTAGGTCTCAAAATTGATGATTGAAGACAGTGGCAGAGTTCATGGGGTTAGTTTCACTAAGTTGTGTTTCCAATTTTTTTACTTTTTTTCTAGGTCAAAGCTAATTTTGATGTTGCAAAATTGGATGGAATTTCTCTAGGTGATGCTGGCAGACGGAACCATATTGCATTCTTCTGTTGTTTTATCCAATGCAACGCCATTCAAAACTTTCATGGTAAAAATGTTGTTCCTCTTCTTTAATTTCAAGGAATTAGGCTAACAGTGGATATTATTATGAAAACATCAGAGAAAAGACATCCTATTTTATCTCTGATTATGCTTCTCCCACGACCCAGGATCTTGTGCCAGATGATGTGCTTCCTCACGATTTTCATAATGCTATCAAGTGCTCTGATTATCGCTCTGTAAGCTTGCATATGAAGTATTATTATTCAGTGATTATTCTAAGATTCAGTTATGTTTTCTTTCTTATCAATGTGATATTTGAGCAATTGAAGTGTCATAGCATTTATCATCTACCTTGTAAAACGGTTCATCCTATGCCAACTTTCTTGTTAAATATAGTACTTATATTTATCGAACAAATCTTGAAAATTGAATTCAGCGTGGACATAACAAGTTCTGACCATGTCGATAAGAGTGTAGTTATACCGTGCTTACGTGTTGAAATGATGGTGTCAAACCGTTCTTCTTTCCTGTTCTTTTTTCTTTTCATTTTATTTTCATTTTATTTTCATTGATATTGGCTTCACAACTACTTCAATCTAAGGGATTCCTGATTGAAGGATCTCAGAGTTGGCAGTTTGGACTTTATGGTTGTATCTCATGTTTTTTAGTCACTATTCATTTCTTTCTCTTACAAGTTTTTGGTAATGAATCCTACTATAGTGTTCAGAGTTTTAGTTCACAGGCATCAGATTCCTTGTGCATATCTGCGTTCTTTTCTTTCTCTTCTATAAGTTTTTTATACTCCAAGGGTAGTGAATTCTTTGTACCACATTTTGTCTTCTGAAACTTCCATTCGAGATTGTGATTCATGTGATTTTTGGCACCTGGATTCATCAGGAGCCTCCCATCGTCCTTCACTTTTTGAACAGAGCTAGAACGCTAACAGTGCATGACATATTTCATGGCCGTTTCTTTTTGCAACTTTACTTCATGGCCATCTTCATCAAAGCAGTAGTTTATTACTTTTGATCTGTTCTTTTTCGATCGCTTATTACTTTTGATCTGTTGCTTCACCTTTTTTCCCTCTGTGGCTTCCCTTGATAGCTATCTTCATCAATATGGATAATTTAACCTTCAGTTTCCTTTTTTTCTCCAAACCACAAGTTCTTTCAGTAGTTAGTCCTACTACGGCTCTTCAGCTTTCTGTGCTGGCACATCTTTGGCCTGCACTCTAAACTGACAGTGACTTAGCTTTCAAAGATTTCATGATTTAGGGACCAACTAGCAACAACAACATACCCAGTATTATCCCACACCGTGGGGTCTGGAGAGGGTAGTGTGTACGCAGACCTTACCCCTACCTTGTGAGGATAGAAAGGTTGTTTCCAATAGACCCTCAGCTCAGGTTAGGGACCAACTAGGAATTTGCATTTATTTTTATGGCATAACAGGAATATGTTATTTCCAGTTTGATATGACCTTAAGCGAAGCATTGTTAGAGAGATGCTTGTTGGTATTATACGTGTAGTAGAAGTTTCTAACTTAAAACTCTATTTCCTCGTAACTCGTAAGGTTCATGTCCGAGTCTCTTTACTCCTGTTGCATATATGTGGCTCAATCGTGAAAGTCTTAGGTTGATTTCATTTGTAATATTCCACTTGCTCTACAAGAAAACATTATGTCATGAAGTTTCATCTCTTGTTCAGGGGCGTATCTAGGTTAATGCATATGGGTTCACGTGAACCCATACTCCTCTCTCTAAATCATGTATAACAATATTATATTTCTTTAAAACTACTTAAACATATGTGCGTGCACCCATGTATAAAGACTCTTACGGTGCAATAATTACTTGGTGCACCTCTACAAGTGAAATTGGCGGTTCAAATCCCACTCTAAATGGTCTTATTTTCGGTACGAAGTTTAGATATATAAGTGAAAATCACTAAAATTTCAAAAAGAATATAATTTTGAACCTATAATTTCAAAAGTGTAGTGGGTTCATGGTGAGACACTATAGTTAAACCCGTCAAATATAAATTCTAGATTCACCTCTTCATAAATAGTGCACCCATCCTTTTGAAATCCTGGATCCGCCTCTGCTCTTGTTATGGTCATTATATTGGAAAACATTGCATGTTTTAGTTGTTAATATTTTGTACAGAAATTTTAGGAGATCATTGATTTCTGGAACCAGACTACTACTAGAATCAAATTCGCTGCTAACTGGTTGTTAATCAAATTGGTTGTTAATATTCAAAGCTGCAATTTAGGCTAAACATTGCAGGTTTTGGTTGTTAATCTTTTTTACCTGGAATTTTAAGGGATCATTGTTTACTGCAACAGGCTACTACTAAAATCAATTTGGCCGTTGACAGATTACCACAGTTCCAGTGCTGCAATTTAAGTCATCCAGATGCTGGTCCGCAGCATAGTGGTACCATTCACATAGGACCAGAGAGGTATTCACTTTGATGTCAAATAGGGAAAAAATATCCTTAGAAACAACAGACTGTAACATGCAGGACATACAAGAAGAAATTACACTTGTTCATTAAATGAGCAAAAGCTGCAAAGCTTACTTCCATGTCAAATAGGGGGAAAATTATCTTACTCTGAACGGTTTAATCTGATACCAATGATCTTTGAGTTTGTTAAACACATAATAAGAAGGTTTGCCCACAACCCTCTGGCATTGATCAGATTATTATTGGTATCATCATTCTTGCAATTCCTGTATTTTGTAAAATTGACCTTTCAACTGTGATTTTAATTGGAAGATAACTGTATGGTTCTGATGTTTTTTAGTATGGAAGAGATGCACATTGCTGCTCAGGATGCTGAAAATGGCTTACCATCTCGCCGGCCCATAATTGAGATGACAATTCCTACTGTCTTTGACAAGACAATCTCTCCATCAGGTACTCAAATTTGCTTCCTCAGCACGGCCTTTTGGAAGGAAATGAGCTAACACGGTTTGAGGGGTTAAAATGCACGGTTCTAGAACCACATAGGGGTGTTAGGCTATTTCCTCAGTACGGGGAGGCAGAATATTAAATGTGCAAATGTGAAGGAGTAAAACGCAATAAACCCATATAATTATGATATTCTCATTCAACAGAATGAGAGAAGTCTTGTTTCTTTTATATCCTTGTGGTTTTCGATCCATACTAGAACTTACAGATATTCATTCATTATTTTACCTAGGAAAACATGTGATTGGTTTATTCATCCAGTACACACCTTATAAACCATCCGATGGCAGCTGGGAAAATCCTGGATATAGAGTTAAGTATCTCTGAAGAGTTATTATAGTATCTTTCTTGATAGTTTTTAATCCTCTTCACTTATAATTCTGATACCTTTCATAATCGCTCTTGAACTTCTAGATCCAACCTGATTGCGTTTTTGTGCATCACATATTTCATGTGTGTGATATTAAAAGAATTTTTTTTCTCTAGGAATCATTCGCCCAGAGATGCTTTAGCATGATAGATGAATATGCTCCTGGATTTAGCTCATCAATTATTGGGTATGATATGTTGACTCCTCCAGATCTTGAAAGAGAAATTGGTTTGACAGGTGCGCCACTGCTATCCCTTCAGTTATACTTTTTCTACTCCTTCCCCCTAGAGAAAGAACCATAGCAAAATGTGATGTCCTTCATTAATGGCTGTTTGATAAGTTTAGAGATTGACACGTGTCAATGAACGATGAAAGGCGTATTCAGTTAGTATCACGTTCTCTGAATCATATGCAAATTCAAGTTATCCTCATGTCGTAGCTTGAAATTTTTGGGTTCCCTATATGTTTATTAAGCTTGCTGAAATTGTACCATCGAGTACTAATATTCTATGCTAAAATTTTAAAATTATCGAAATTGTACATTTATTTTGTTGAACATCAAAATGGTTAAATAGATAAATTGAACATTCTTGCCAATGCACTATAGAAGGATGGACTGTTAAAAGTTTCTTATTAAACAGCTAATTGTTGAGTGTTTCCAATTCTCAGCGCTAAGTGAAGTTTGAATGACTTAATATTTTTATAGCATTAATGGCACTTTATTGAGTAGGATTTTTTGTAAGCGGTGTCAACATTTGAGTACTTTTTCAAACTTAGGGTTTTAAGGCTGCATCAGTACCAGCATTCCAGTATGGTTTCAAACAGACAGTTTCTTTAACAAAAGCATTAGATGAAAGACACCTAAAACCGATAAAAGACAGAATATAATACAAAGAAAAAACTTCACATGTATTGATGTTAAAGATGTTTATTTACATCAATTTGAATTAGGAACAGATTCTAACTCAATTGGTTTTGTTGCTCCTTATTTGGTAGTTACGCAAACTAAATCAGTGAGGCTCTAACCCTCACCTCCAAGAGGGAGATGAGACATTTCACCAATGAACCAATGAACCCTTCTGTTAAAAGTGGTGTCATTTTTTATGTTTATACCTAATATTTTCAATTTGCTTATTATCTAGCAAAATATTTTGACGAAGTTGTGTCCCGTGACACCGCTTGGGGCAAGGAAAATCTGCCCCACCGTCCACATTATTTAATGTGTTCAATATGTATTATTTTTAAACTTCTGCGCTGCAGGCCTTAAATAGGTTTGGGTGTGAGTGCACAATCTGTTTGCTGAATAACAGTGGCAGAAATAAAAATCTCCACAAACAAGGCAATTATGTCCTGTTGCGTTTAAGCTGCAGCAATGTTATGTTGCGAACTTTATTGTAGTTCAGCAACTGTACCAGAGATCATATCTGGCATTTAGGATCTCAATCATGTACATAGTTTTAACTTTTATCTTCCAACCAACTAACGTTATAAGTACTACCATGCTACAAGATCTAGGAAGATAATACGAAAACCTGATGTTTTGTTTTATCTGAGTCTATTTTAAGAATTCTTTTGGATTCGTCTAGTTATGAGAATGAAAAACTATAGGCTGGAGCATGCTTTGTGGTGCCTGCAAACTAATATAGGAAATGCTGATGGGTTCTGTTATATTACAGGAGGCAATATATTCCACGGATCCATGGGATTAGATTCTTTGTTTTTAATGCGGCCGGTGAAAGGATGGTAACGGTTTTGAACAGCTTTTGACATTAGTCCTTGAAGGGCTCAAGTCCATAAAATGATGATTTTTGCTATTATCTGAACGTTGAAATGCAGGTCAAATTATCGGACTCCAATTGAAGGTCTATACCTATGTGGCAGCGGGGCACATCCCGGTGGTGGAGTAATGGGCGCCCCAGGACGCAATGCTGCGCATGTTGTCATTACAGACTTAAAGAAATCATGAAGCTGCTCTTCCGGCAGGAACATTTTTTCCTGTTGTGATTTTTTGGCGAGTTGCATCAGTTTTATATTATTGACAAATTTTCAGCGAAGCCAACTCTCAAGCCAAAAGTGAACTGATAGTCATCCTATTGTCCATCAGATATTTCACTTATACTTTGACTACTTTGAGTTCCCGTGTGTTTAGAACCAAATGGGAACTACACAGAGAATTTGCTCTCACTGTCTAACCACAATTGCTTAATTTAATCATGTTCTCAGAAATAACTGTCTTTTCTTTAAAGAGGGAAGATGTGTTCCTTTTAGTCGTCATTATCCGAGCTTCTTTTGCTTGCTACATATTTCATGGTAAAAAAAAATTACTAAATGAAGTTGAATTAATTTTGCTCACAGCAAGATCAGCAAATTATCGCGTGAATTTGTAATTCTTACAAGAGCTTTTAGTATTATTAGATTTTGCTTTTGCTTTCGATTTAATTTCATCACTGAAATTCTCATCATTAGTTCAGGGGAAACGCTATTTCCCTTCCTACATCGCTTGTCCAGCAAATATAGTCAAAAGGTACAACTTTCCCCTTGTACCACCATTAACCCTTAATTACGTTTTGGTGATATGTTGCCCCTGCTCCCTAGTTTTTTACCTTCCTTCTATCTCCTGAGATAACTATGAGTGACCCATCCCTGACTAAAACTTTGCATGCCCTTTTTTTTTTTTTTTTCCTTACAAAGAACCCAATGGCACACGTTAGTTTTCTTCCCAATTTTCACGACACCATCAATAAGGATATCTAGTCTAACAAAAAGTTAGTTCTTTTAGCCAAATAGAGGTTCACTTCGTTATATTGCAAATACTTTACTCGAGAGTCTATCAAATGTCTATAGCAAATTGAAGTCGGTTTGACGGATCACTAGTGCAAATCTCGTCGATTGAAGAATCTTCAGAATGAGTGAATCCCCTCGATGTAAACTGCAAAGAAAACAATGCTGGGAACAGGAAAATAACAGAAAATAATTGAAAGGGAAGACAAATGTTGAAAACTAACAGAGAGCAACGACGAACTTTCTGCTGCGTTCTTTCTTTTTGTTTGTTCTCTCCCCATGTTGACTAAATTGAAAAGTTTACTTTTTGCACCTTTAAGAAATTGGTAACTTTGACAAATTGGCAATGAAGCTCAGGATTCAAATCCCAAGGTATAAAATTGTATTATTTTTTCTCATCTAACTCTGGTGGACATATATACCAAATACCTTTGCTAGTAGAAGATAGCACGTACTTAGTGGATTAGTCAAGTAGCGCATAAATTGAACCAAACACCACCATTATCCACAGAAAAAAAGGAGAGAAGGATAACACTGTCAACTTAAGCCCATACAGTTATGAGGTGGGCAAGAGGGTTTTAAGAATCAACCCAAATAGCTGTACACCTTAAACTAAAAATAGCCGGTGGAGGTATAATGCATGCATAATTTAAGTATTATATGTGTATAATCTATGAATATGGCTAGAAAAAATAAACAATGAATATGACCGGCTATTTGTGTAAAGATTCCGGAGCAATAGCTGTTCCGTTAGTTCGGTAAAAGGATTGCTCACATTAGCTTATCAAGGTTCAACATATAAGGCAGGTTTGTGTAGAATATAGCACTCTAACGGAATTTCAGCTTGGCTTTTGCGTCGTAGTTGTTTTAGAACTCGGTATAACTAACATGCTAAAAAAGGACCCTATAAAAAAACTCTATAATTCATAGAAATGATTACGAATTGAGAAGTCAGTTAATTTGCCACACTAAAAAAGTACAAACGTCATATTCAATAGAGTTCATTTTCAACACAATAAGAAAGGTAATGTACAGAGCAAACCATATGCTATCTAGCCCACCAAGAAGGAATAGAATTGTTGATCAATGTGCTAGCACTTGTGGTTGACTCTAATCTGCAATTAAACAGGAATTATTCTCTAAAACAATTTACAAGTTTTGCATATAAAGCTGGAAGTAAAAAAAGATTATGACAAATGCAAGTGACAGTGAAGTGACACACGTGTTCCATTCATGTGTGTGTGTGTGTGAGAGAGAGAGAGAGAGAGAAGAACAAACTTTGTAATCTCCTCAACTGCTTTCATAACTTCAACAGAATCTGTTTCTAGCACTTGACCACCTAAAATTATTTCATCTAAAATGGTATGCATCTGCAGAAGACAATCATTCATTAGACAGAAAAAAAGTGCAGACTACTGACTGATACCCCAAAAAACAAGAGAAACAACATTTGAAAATTGAAACGTATTGCACTGGATGAAGCTTACATAAAATTGTGAATATGGCCAAGCTTTTATTACTAGAAGCATTATGCATGTCAAAGAGGTGACCATATGCTGGTTATAAGTTATAACAGAGAAAAGCCACAATGGTGCCCAATATTGGGAAAAAGGGTATTGTCTGGATTTGGAATATAGGAGTCCATCTAAACATATCAGGCAATTGTAATGAACAGAGTTCGTTATTGAGGGAGCATAAGAGTTCCGCAACTAATCAGAACATAGAAAAAGGGAAGTTGATTTGTGAGACTTATTAATGATGTATTCCATCAATGCATCCAATTGATTTTCTAGATAAGAAAGAATATTTATGTTTCAAAGATAAGTATATAAATACAACAAAAAGGTTAGTGCAATACTCTACCTTGCTATAATTGAATACTACATCAAGTTCGCATACACTTCTGAAGCATTTGTCCAGTGTTTCCACAAAAACTGATGTAAAGAGAACCACATCATCAACAAGCGCTCACATGAACAAACCATTAAAGTAATATCATTCAAATATCAGCAGCAGCCACTAGACATGAATGGTTCTATCAACATAAGTAGCATCTTACAAGTGGAGAAAAGTATACCAGAAGATGATCAAGAGGAAGACGGTAAAAGAATCATAGCGAGGAATACAGGGCAAAATCTTTAGAAAAACAGATTATGACATGCAGGATATACAGGGAGAGAATACGCTTGTAACAATATATCGTGAAGTGAAATCATTCTTCCCCGAACTTTATTTTTAATATTAAATAGAAACATTGAAGAAGCATATCCACTTATCTATGAATTAAGCCCATCCCAGAAAATCGAGACTCATTTGCTTTTGGTTCATGCAATGTCAACAAATTGTGCAATATCATTGCAAGTTTAATAATATGTAAACCACCCCAAGCTTGGTACTTTTAAATTTTAATATGAATGTCCATTATTTTTCTCCCCATTGCTTGGAGAAAATAATTCCTTCCAAGAATAAAGAAACAGCTCTATTGAACTATATCATTGCACATCCCATATTTTGAGTTGTTTTCACCTGTTATTTAATTGGTCTTGGTTCGCCACCTTGAGTTCCATCTTTCTCTTCCTATTATCAATCATTAAAATCTTACCATACATAGAAGTCTTGCAACATAGTTAAGGACACTAGCTTAAACATGAACTTAAAAATGTGATTTCCCCACAACAAAACAAAGGTAAAGAAGGGAAACAAGTACCTTGTATTAGATCGAGCATGGCCAACTCATTCTCAGAGTTATCAAATAGAAACACGAAATATAAGGTAGCATAGTGCTTATACACGAGCCTTGTATCCTGGAAAAGATATAGCAATGGCTTTTAAAATAATTTACTCTTTATACTTGAGAGTATAAAATACTCTTCCTAATTTGTACGATATCACAAAGAGGAGTTCACAACACTTTAAAGCAGTGTAGCATGTAAGTTGTTGCCTACGTGATAGTATCCTGGAACTGCACTTATCCCATTTTGGTCCATCATTTATCCGGTTTTAATCAATATTAACTAGCTAAAATCTTACTAGTCAATTGGAGAGTAGGTTTTCTGAATGTATGTAACTACCCACTTGATGAAAGAGGATAACTAACCTAAAACTATTGAGAAACCGGTTTTCTCTCTACCTAACAAAGAAACCAATGCTTTCCAAAAGGGTGAGGGTAGATAATCAAGTTTTCTAAAGTTCCATGTCCATCTTTTCAAGAATTTGCATAGGATCAAAGTACATTTTCTAGATAAAATGTTCTTATTATATATTGTGAAAAATATTGAAGTTCTAAGATCATACAATTATGTATATCTGCTAATGATAGATTGTTGAATACTTGAAATCTAAAGGATATTGCTAGGACCAAAAGAATAAACAAGGAGACAATGAAGTAATTTACCGGACCGAAAATTGAACCCAAGCTCCGAATAAAATTGCTCACATTGTCAGGCCTGTTGCTTAACACTGAAAGAAAAAACAAATTAAAAACTCATCTAACAGTCAACATTCAACTGAACGAAACCTCAGCTTCATCAAATTGTGTCTTTACCTGCGTATACATGACGTATGAGCTCTTGTTGCTTCTCCGCTGGCTAATTTCAATCCCGACAACAAAATTCAAAAACTTTATTGAGAAATTCAGTAGAAATTAAACAAAGATTGAACCAAAGATGGATCTTAGAAATAGCAAAAGATAATATGAGGGGACAAACCTGAAATTCGTAGAATTTGGAAAGGCGAGGCTTGCCGAGGGTGTTAATAACCATTACCGCCTTTATCATTTCTTCCTGTTGAATCTCAGGACAAACTGGCAAAAGCTACTCTTTCGTCTCGCTTTGTCTGTATTCTTTCTCCATCAATAATTGTAATATTGCATAAAGGAAATTACAATTTGGTCCATTATTTATTGCTAAATTTTATATATTTTGGTAATCATAATATCCTAATAGGCACATTTCACTTTGATTTGATAGAATTATGTACATTTTATTCCTACTAGTCAACGTAAATTTTAAGCATTAAACGCATTCTAACTAAAAATAAGAATTTGAATGTATGTACTAAAATAAGAGATGTTCAACAATTGACGTCTTGAAGATTCGTTGCATTTATGAACGTGAAGGGATCAAAATGTAGACGTTTAAACATAAAAAATATGATGTTTAAAAAAAGTAATATTTAAAGTTAAGTAGAAAAATAATATTTGGATATGTTGATTTTTTTCTTTGAGAAAATATAAAATAAATATATTCCTAACCATAACCAATAATGACAACAAAAGGAAAAAAATTGCAATGTATAACCTTTTTCAGGCTACTCTCCAATCTCTATTTGCACTAGCAAGTATTTTTACAAATTAAAATTTTCTATTTTTAACAGTAGTAAGGGATTTTTTTTTCTTACAAAATAAAATTAAACCGGAGATAAAGTTTAAATAATGGCCTCCAACTCTCTAATTAGTAACCGTTCATATTGGGTACCTAAGACTCCTCACCCGTGGACATAAATGGATCAAGTGCACTGCTATTTAGAAATTTTCTAGTTTGAATACGTACAGGCTAATTTTTAAATAGCAGTCCTTTAGAGTAACTACATGGCCGTTATTTCTAGACATAAATAGGTTCACATTGGATGGGCCAATTTTAAACTACTTTTGTGCTTACAAAGCGAACCCAACTAAAAAAGGCCCATTATCTGTTTCTTCGTCGAGGTTTTAGACATTTTACGTGCAGCAGCGCAGGGTTTTAGGCGAAAAAGCACTCCACTCTTCTCCTCCTCCTCCTCCTCCTTTCTTCTCTTGTGCAAGTATACCAAAATTATTGTCAATTCTCCGCCTTTTCCTATTTCAAGCAATCAAAGTGTCAAATTCTTGCTTATTGCAGCGGCTTCTTTGTCATTTTTTTATTTTTTTTTTTGTAAATTTGCAGCACCTGGGTATTAACTTTAATTAAATTTATCTTATCAGTTTATGTACTAGTTTGAGTTTTGTAAGAGTTAATTTCTCTATATGGCTAATTATAAAAGATTTTTATGCAGCGGCGGAAGGCAGTGGATTCACGAGGGCGGAAAAAAATAATCAATAGCTTGTTCTTACACAATTTTGAGCTGGAAATTGCAGAGCAATGGCGTCGGATACATTAACTTACACGGACTCGATGAACTTGAAGGTGAGGGAGCTGTTGAAGGAGGTCCAGCTCGAATACTCCCCTGAAACTACTGCAACTGTGGACAAGGTCGTCTCCGCCATAAAAGAAGCAATTGATAAAATCCCTGAAGACCAGGTCAATTTCTTTCTAAAACCTTTAAGTCATTCGTAGGACAAAAATATAAGATATGTTGGAGAAACTAGTAATGTTGTCTGCAGGGATCTTTATTTGAATTCTCTCTGTATACACACATAGACACACAAACATATATACATGTATAGTTGAACACTTTAAAAGATATATCGCACACTAAGTCACACTCACTGACACAAAATAGTAATGGGTGCAACTAGAAGTTTAAATCTTGGATCAGCCTTTGGTTGTGAGCTTCTTTTCTTATTAGCACAAGTCAGTTTTAGTTATGCTGAGTTTGTTGACTCTGCTTCTCCACTCCCCTCTTTTAATAGTGAAGCATTTTTTGGCAGGTTACGGCTGACTTGGCACCAGGGTTTGTTAGAGACATCAAAGCTGATAAGGTGGAATTCACGTTTAAGAAGCCAAAATCTCTAGAAATTAGCGGGAGTTATTCCATACAATGCGTTACCAAACCAGATTTAAATGTGGATCTTTTTCTTCACTTGCCAAAGGTGTGCCGTCTATTTTCCTTTAGAAAGTCATAATCTCGGAGTGTCTTAGAGCGCTACTTGATGTATTGTATTGTGTTGTAACTTATTTACTTTTCAGTTTGATGCTAAGTTCAAATGTTTTGCTTGATTATTACATGATAATGTAAGAAGCTTGGTATGTAAAATGGATAATTTCACATTGTTTCAAATGGTCAGAGCTTTAAATTGTTGCTTTTAGCTATTTCTTCGTCTATGTAATGGTGCAGGATTTATAAGCTTTGAAAATGTGAGAAAGTTTTAATTGCAAAACAATCAATCGCTTGAAATCAGAAACTGATCTACTTGGTCTGAGTCCATCCAACAGCTAGTTTAACAGCAAGGCAGTGGACATGATGCAAAGTATCTGTTTTCCATCGTCCCGTTATAGCTTTTAGTTTTTTTTTACCACAATATATGCCTTCTATATTCCAAACTATGAATGTGGAGAAATGGAACGAAGTTGTAAAAAATGAATCCTGGTCAAAGGTTTATCTTACTGGAAAAATAGTAGCCTGAATTAACAGGCATGGAATGATTGGTTCTATCGCTCAAATAGAATTATAAGTTCATATTTATCAAAAAGAAAGAATTGTAAGTTCATGTGATATATCATGGGTGAAAGCTCATTCTTTGGAATGCTGAGTGAGTGGTGTGCAGGATAAGTATGAAATGCTTCCAGTGCACATAATTGGAACCAAATTGACTAAGGCAAAATGGTCATGCCGGTCTCATAGTGAATAACACGGCAAAATGGTCATACCGGTCTCATAGCGAATAACCACATTCATGATATATTGCTCTTCTTATTTTCTTGTTGTGACATGTCTTGTTTTTTTTTGCCTTCTAATCTTTTCCTTTTGGCAGGAGTGTTTTTACGAAAAAGATTACCTAAATTATCGATACCATGCCAAAAGATTCCTTTATCTCTGCAAAATCAAGGAGCAGCTGAAAGAATCTCCGTTAATCAGAGCTGTGCGATGGTCTAGTTTCCAAAATGAGGCTCGGAAACCTATATTACTTATCTATCCAGGTTGAGTCAGACTATCTGCCCTACCTTCTCTTGCTTCTTAGTGGATGAAGTTTTCCGGCGTCTAGTGCAAGTTTCAGTTTATTTAACTGACTTGATGTTCTTTTGTTATTGTAGCAGTTAAGCTTATTGGAAATGCTGAATTTGTTGTGAGAATAATTCCTACCGCGACATCTTTGTTAAGTGCAACAAAACTTCGCTTGGAGCGAAACAATATCCGTACTGTCAAACAAGGTTTATATATTTAGATATTTTGTCAAGCTCCTTTGCTCATATTGAGTTGCTTCTTAACAATGATTGCACTTACTTCCACTTGTAGGAGATGCTTTACAAGCAACTCCAAGGTACAATAATAGTATATTGGAGGACTTGTTTCTTGAGGATAATGCAGAATTTGTCAAAAGAACTTTCTCTGGGTGGAAAGAATTGGGGGAAGCCTTGATACTGCTAAAAGTATGCCAATTTTGTTTTAAGGAACTAATATAGTCCAATAGCTTACTTTCTTAGACGGAATATTACATCAGTTGCATTTCTATAGGTGTGGGCTCGGCAGAGGAGTTCAATCTATGCCCATGATTGCTTAAATGGGTTTCTAATTTCTGTCTTATTGGCCTTCCTTGCAACAAGGCCTGGAAGGCATCATATAAACAGTTCCATGAATACAATGCAGATATTTCGCATCACAGTGGACTTCATCGGTATGTATTCTGTCCTCTGTCCTGATTTTCCTCCTTGTACTATGATTACGTGCACAAGCAGAAGACAAAACATGTTCTAGATTGAGACATAGATATGTTAGGCTTCAGTTGGAAAGAGTGAGATATCACAGAGGATTAAGTACTTCTTAGTTGGTTGGAGTTGGTCAGAAAAAAAAGAAGTTGATCAAGTCACCTAAACTTAAGAAATTTATGAAACCCTTGAGTATGCTAAGAATTCCCCAGCCGAGCTCTCCTAAGGCATCCCTCCTTTATCTACTCAGCTTAATGGGGGCAATCTTCATTGTGACATTTGTGTTATGCATTGAACAAGATGAGAATAAAATTTCTAGATGCAGTGTTTGCATCAAACACTTAGGGGTTGTTTGGTCCATAAGAAAAATTATACTAGGATTTGCATGGATTGTAATACTGTATTAATAATCCCTAGATTTTAAGTGCATACACTTTCTTTGACGAAGTTTAATTCATTGCATTGAAAATGGACCGTGATACTGGTATAAAATTATACCGGTATGGCTTAGACCGGAAGAAAATAATCCAACCAAACACGGATAAAATAATCCCTGCCCGAATTTTCCCAGGATTTTTTTTCTTCTAATCCTGGCAACCATACGGCCCCTTAAGTCATGGTGATAAGCATGATATATTTACCTAAACTAGGAAACTTATTTAAAAGGTCCGATAACTTGGTTATATGCTTAAACACGCTGATCCTTAGAATTTGGGGCAACCTGCATTTGGCTTTTCCTGAACAGGAAAAAAGAGGAGTTATCCGCTGGGTAACTCCTGCACCTGACTTGCAAAACCAATTACCCAACACTTAATAGTCTCTGAAACATTTGTTAATAATGTTAACATGAATATGAACTGAACTTATGGGCTTATTTAAACTCAACTTATAAGATTCTCAACAAAGTAGTCCTGGTAAATAGTGTTATAAAGAGTTGCTCTAGAACTGATAACATTATTTAATATGTATATTTACGAGCATTTAGTGCTATGGTAATTTTGTTTCTCTCTATCTTTTATCTTTTCATTTCTTGGAGTTAGCTAATCATGGCAAGAGAAATATCTTAATTGGTATGATCTTCATACTTATCTTTTATTTGGTTGAGTTAGGGAACAACTGAAGTACTAATCATTTTTGTGTTTGCAGCCACCTCTAAGACATGGGATAAGGGGCTTTTTATTCAGCCCCAGCCTGAAAAAGCTTCAAACAAGGTTTATTACTTTGCTATATTTGGTGATTACAAGTTACTTGAAGAAGATACACTTACCAAAAAGAAGTGTGGGAGAGGCTATAAAAAGATGCATCTATGTTTCATGATTAACTCCATTCAAAAGAGTTTCAAGGATTTAATTAAGATGTAAAAATCCAAAATCTTTTTGGTAAGAAAGAAATTAACAATCAACAAGTTGATAAAAGCTACTAAATCATCTGGCACAGAGAATGAAGCTTCACCTTTCCAAGCAATGTTCATGGAAGAATGTCAGACCTGTTCCCACCTTACATTGCATTAGTGCATGTACTTATTTGGTTGTTGTCTAAGCTAAGACTATTATAACTCGCTTTTCTGTCTCTGGTTATTATGCTTACAAAATCTATTTTCTGGCTCGATAACGAACAGTTAGTGATCCCTTTTTTATTAGTTGTCTAAATAGGTGACATAATCAAAACAAAATAGGCTTTTAATTAGTTCATTCCTCCATTTTCATGTATTTTAGGTGTCAGCATCTAAAAGCCTTGTTAGAAATGCCATTGTTCGGTCTTGGAGAACTCCCATCTCACTACCTAATTGTAGCGGTACCACTTCATGAGATGCATGAGTTCCATTTGTGAATTGCTTCAACATCTTATTTTCTCTTTCTCGTCTCCAAGGTATTGAGACAGGTATAATAATTTAAAGTGCTGTTGTACCGTTACTCATTTTAAGTTTGAAATTGCAGGATATGCAGTTGTTTCCTGTGGTCATTTGCAATTCATTTGAGGACTTCAATTTGGCATTCCGTCTGTCGCACAATGGTTTCAAAGAGGTGATTTATGAGAATTTAAAGTGCACCTTCAGTTGATTTAATCTAAATAATAAGAGTATTGTCATTTTCATCATAATGATCTAATAGCTAATGAAAATGGAGAAATAATAACACTGCCTTCCTCCATAGTTTGTTCCTCAAATGCTCCAACAAAGTAAATAGGAGAAAGAATTTGGTTGATTTTTTATTTCTTTTTCTGTCTATTTCAAGTCTGATTCATGTTCCAGTAATAAAATGTTTTGATTGTTTTTTTTTTTTTTTAAAACTTACAGCTGCGCAATGAGGCTGCATTGGCAGTTAATAGCATCAATAAATGTGAAGATGGTGGCTTTGATGAGCTTTTTATCACAAAGATTGACTTTCCCGCTAGATATGACTACTGCATGAGGTGCATCAAAGGAAACTGTTTGTATTTGCTCTCCTATTAATGTATTCGAAGTGAATTTCCTTTTGTTATTATCAGACTTGTTAATTCGTGGTGGCAATTATGAATGATGCTCTTTGGAGCTAGTCATCCTATAAAATGATTAGTATGTTTAAATATCTTCTGAAAGATTTGTAATACACTATGTCCCGCTGGTCCTCAGTAAGGGGATGCAACAGAATAATGTTGGGGGAAAAACACTAACAAGCATGAGCTTAATATTAAGTGATTATTTCTACGTTCTCGAACACGATTATTCATGGGAGTATAAATATATTATATTAGCCTTTCTGGTTTAGTCAATTAGCAAGATCACTTATATCATACGGTGATCCTATAGGTTGAACTTGAGGGGAAACTGTGAAGTTTCTAGCTTAGGATTCTGCTTAGATGATGAACTTTGGAGATCTCAGGAGCAGAAGATACTCTCCCTCATGGACCAAGGGTTGAGCGACAGATCTAAGTCCATTCGTGTTATTTGGAGAAACACTGCATCTGAATGCAACTTTGAAGAGGTATATATTATCGGCTGTTCTTCGACTAAGATATGATGGTGCATAACTGATCTTATTCTGGTAACAAACTATTCTAGGGACTGTCGGAGCTAGACAATGAGCCGTTGCTTATTGGGATTTCTGTCAAATCAGCAGAATCAGCCTTTAAAATGACTGTCATAGGTCCTAGCCCTGAGGAAAGAGATAAGGTGCAAGTCTATCTCATTGATTATCTGGTTAACTTTTGGTTCAGTCTTCTTTACTCATACATACTTCGTCACATTCCACCAGGCTTTAGAATTTCGGAAGTTTTGGGGAGAAAAGGCGACTCTTCGACAGTTTCGCGATAGTAGAATAGCTGAAGTTGCAGGTTTGGTCATATATATACTTCTGTTTCTGCTTCTGCCAGACTCGGAGACTGTTGAAATTGATGTTTTTTTAATTGTATTCTGTATAATCCTCAATTGCCAGTATGGGAACACGAGGAATGGGAAAGGCATCTCATCATAAAAGATATTGCCGAGCATGTTTTGTCTAGGCATCTTTCCATCACCAAAGAAAAAATCGTTCCTGTTGTGGATCAACTTGATTTTTGTCTCCTCCACAGGGATGTAGGTATGGTTAAAATTGCTGGTTACTTTCAGCCTTATGTCTTCTCAAGCTTGAAGAATGTACTTTGTGAATAATGAAGTTGATTTTCAGATCCTATATCATTCTCAAAAAGTTTGCTGGTGGCACTTGAAGAGCTGTCAAAGCGTTTGCTTCAACTTAATGACATTCCACTAAAGGTGTCGACTGTGCAACCTCTGGACTCAGGTTTCCTTTCTCTACTCAAATGTTGTTCATACATATATGCTTCACGCTTCTATTACTGCAAAAGTGGTTTGTGCTTACCATTAGTCACAGCTTTCAGGATGACATCTGTCTTCCCGCCCATCCCTCATCCTTTGGCACAGGAGAAGGGTGTTGACATAAAACTAAGGAAGCCTGTTTCAACCTGTANTGGCGTTTCTTCTCAGAATTGCTGAGAGGTTTGTCTTTCTTGAGCTTATTTTTCAGGAACGATATTCTTATGTAAGCCTACATTAAAGTCATTTGAGTGCACTATTATGGCAGTCTGCAGAACAATTGGGGGATGATGTTTACTGCTACAGAAGATGATGTAGATGTTCTGATGTCTGGCTATGCATTCCGCCTTAAAATTTCTCATGAAAGGGCTCTAAGTTTGGTGACTGGGCAAAGTAAGATAGTTTGTGCCTGTATTCTCTACTTTTTGCTATCCTTCTTGTATATAGGAAATTTCCCTTTTCTAATGGAAGCTTTTAAAAAAGACACGTGTGCCTGTAGTGACCTACTGTTCTTTCTGCAAGAACGTATTTTTGTATACTGATAAAGAATGATTCTTTCTATAGGTAATAATTGTCGACATCAATGGAGCCTCTCTGCTGACAGAAAACTTCTTCTACGACACCAACATGCAAGCAAGATTAATGCTTTAAGGGGTCGTTATCCCGTATATGGACCAATTGTTCGGTAAGAACCTGAGTTTGTGCTACATCCCCTCTTTGCTCCTCCTTATAGCTCATTACCTCTTTGCTTTGCAGGCTGGCTAAAAGATGGGTTTCTGCACACCTATTTTCCACGGTGCTGACAGAGGAGGCAGTTGAACTATTGGTTTCATATCTTTTCTTGAGACCTTTGCCATTTGAACCTACTTTCTCCCGAATAACAGGATTTTTGAGGTTTGATATTTGTCACTCAGAATTCGTTTTGCTTGATCATTTTACCATTTACTTTCTCCCTCTTCCCCAGTTCTCCGCAGTCAAAGACTTTTAACTATTTTATTCTAAGTTGACTCTCAAGAACGAAAGAATTACAATTTGGTTGCTTGGAACATAATTGTGCTTTTCCTAGAACCTTCGTAATTTCCTGCAAAATTGTGGGTGACTGTCATACGTGTATCAACTAGTGTTCACTTTCTGTAGTTGTTTCTAAACTATGTTTGCTCTTTCTCATTTCCAATGGACTTCTTTTTTCTTTTCCATTGTGTAAGTTTGCATGTGTCACCTGCAACTTATTTTTCTTTCACAACACAATAGGATGTTATAACCTTGAATGAAACAGCTAACTTTCTGTGCATTCCGATACTATCTGGTAGAGGGTAACTTGAGTTATTTGCTTTTGGCAATTTGCTTCAAGCCCCAAGATCATCTTGAGAATGTGGTGGATGCTTAATCTCTGCATGACAATTTGTGCATTGTATTGGAGCTGCAGCGGATTCCTCAAAAGAATAGGAAAAATAGGGTGGAAGTACAGTACGTTTGCTAATAGATTGAACCCTGTAGGCTAGAAGATCTACATAAGACAAAAGTTACTGACATAACAGTAATCACGGTAAAACATACTCTCGCGAGCAGTTAGTTGGTGGAGTGTCTTGCAAACCAAGGTTTGAGCTCTGATAGCTGTATTCTTTTTTCCTTGCTTGTTTTTCCCCTTTTAATACTCCTTTCCTTTTTTCTCTTTGTTGTTTTGAGGTAAGAAGTGGACAAAATGAATCTAGAATGGTGCTTTCAGTTTCTTATTTTATTCGATAGACTTTATAAGTTGGTCTCTTTTTCTTATAATCTGTTTCTTAAACAGGTTCTTACGATTATTGTCAAAATATGATTGGGCCTTTTCACCCTTAATCGTTGATTTCGATGGCGACTTTTCGACTGAGGAGAAACATAAGATTATTGTAAGTACCAAGTCAAGTAATCAACCTTTGGAGGGCATTTTTCTTGGTAAAATTTTTCCATTATCTTTTCTTGTTTTTCTATGTAATAATTTTTTAATCCAAAATGCTATTCCCATATGAATTTGGCAGGAGAATTTCATGAGGAGTAGAGAAGAGCATGAAAAGGATACTCAAAATTTAAGTCCTGCAATGTTCTTAGTTACTAAATATGACATCACATCTGAAGCATGGACAAGATCTTCACCAACTACAGCAGTAAGTGGTTCTCAACTTTCAAGCGCTTGTATTAAATCATTATCCGTGCTTCATGGAATCCTGTTCACTGAAACAGAAACGTGTGAAGATACTATATTATTTTACATCCTAGTATTGATATTTTGCACCCAATAGTTTATACTTCATACATCTTTAGAAAACCCTGTAGATTAGATGTCATCTTAAGACACAGGAGTAGAGAAGAGCATGAAAAGGATACTCAAAATTTAAGTCCTGCAATGTTCTTAGTTACTAAATATGACTTCACATCTGAAGCATGGACAAGATCCTCACCAACTACAGCAGTAAGTGGTTCTCAACTTTCAAGCTCTTGTATTAAATCATTGTCCGTGCTTCATGGAATCCTGTTCACTGAAACAGAAACGTGTGAAGATACTATATTGTTTTATATCCTAGTATTGATATTTTGCACCCAATAGTTTATACTTTATTCATCTTTAGAAAACCCTGTAGATTAGATGTCATCTTAAGACAATTGATCCTTGAATGTATGACCAAAGTTTCAACTGTAGGAAAGTGGCTGCTGGAGAGGCTCATGGAAATTTTAGTTTCCATCTGCAACCTATCTTTTGCTGCTGCCTTACAACCATATACATGCTCACAAAAGGCGTAATTCTGAATTACTATATACAAACCACATGCTTTATCAATGTTATTCTTTGTGATAGCATCATATAGGAGAAAGGAGAAGTATTTCATATGTTTGCAATCATGATTTCTACTGTGTACTATATTTGGACCATTGAGGTTAAAACTTAAAACTTCACTTTCAAACTGAACATTTGCTTTATTCAATAGGAAGCTTATCAAACATATATAAAACACAAAATTACACCAGATCTACGTTTCTACTTCTCGGGCAGCTTTTACTCTTCTATTCTCCTAGATAATGAAGAAGTAACTAGAAGTATTATTTTTTTTCTCAATTCTATGGTTGGAGGTTTAGGGTCCTTACTATTAGGCTATTCCTCTCTCGTGAAGTAACTAAAAGTAACTTTTTTTATTGTTCAAGTAACTAAAAGCAACTTATTGTCTTATGTTCACCCAAAAAACTATATTAAGCAATCCCTTTCATAAAATAATTTTTTTTTTAAAAGATTAAGCAATGTCTTTCTCAGTCAACTCTCATCTTAATAATTTCATAAAGTCAATCATGGACGTTTATTTTGGGACATAGGACTACTACTTAATAATAAATATTATTACCATTATGGATCGTGAGAAATCACAAGATCAAGCAACCAAACAATAAATAAAGCTTTTAAGCCTTCTATGGAACCAGGACAAAATAATGCCTTTAGTTTTACACAATCTGAGCATGTAGGTGTGGCACGATGACTAAGTTTTAGGAAATATTGTCGTTCGGTGGTCTTGTGGGCACAAACTCCTCTCATGATCGTTGTGTGTTTTGATAAGCTTTCATGATTGTTATGCTTTTCCTCTAGCGTTAATTTGGGTACTTTCGTCTATAGGAGCTAAGAAGATTGGTGACTTATTCAACTAGCAGTGTGAATTTGTTGACCAAACTGATTTTGCAAGATGGATATGATTCTTATGGATGGAAAGTATGTAAAAACATCAACTTTTCCCATCCCTGTGAATTGTTTTGCTATAACGTGTCATTCATAGTGCTGTTGATTTTCCATCCTGCAGTGTCTTCTCCGCACGCCTCTGAACAACTACGATGCTGTTGTTCTTCTCCACAGGGATAAATTGCCCTACCCCCAGCATCTTCTCTTTCCATCCGAGCTCAAACAAGGTTCTTTTTCTCATCTTGCTTTGTGCTTGTATTTGTTTCCTCATGATATGCACCTCTATTTCCTCCTCCCTTCTCATCCATTAAGCATTGATACTCCTATACTAGTTAGAGTCTAAAACACTTGCAATTTCTTTCCAGAGCGGTGTGTGGTGCGGGGGCATGCAACCAAGATTTTCCATCCTTTCTTTTTGCCTGGAGACTTCAAAGTGAACTATGGGGAACTGAAAAGTAAGCTGATGGTGAATTTTGATCCAGTAAGGTGCTTTGTTACCGATATCCAGGCAAGTACTTACATTTTGCTGACATTTTTATCCATTGACGTGCAAGTCAGCTATTCAATCCCTTGATCCCCTTGTTCCTGTGATGCTGAAGATTTCCCCCTATCTTCCTGCCCCCATCTGATGCAGAGAGGATTTCCCGATGGGGTGAAGGTGTGGCACGATGCTTTGGGTGGTGATGCTCTTGGTCTTACATTAGCAAAAGCAAGTTCAAAGGTATGCTTTCTGGTTGTACTGAAGTAACAAATGATGTTTGGATGTTTAATAACAAGATGGTAATTGTGTCCTGTTTTCCAGAAACGAAAGCATGATGACTCGACAGAGGAGAGCAAGGATCTTCTGATTACGCTAAAAACCATAGGCGAGGTCGGCAAAGGCCTTGTGAGAAGTATCCATGTTGTCAAGACCCGAAAAAGTAATAATTAAAATGTTTAAAAAGAATTTTGCCAGCGTTGGTTTAACAACTACATGTACACTATGCGTATGTTATAAAGGTTACTGTTGGCTGGTTGGAAGCTCTTCAAATTTTGCAGCACAACTTTTGTATATGTGGAGTTCTCTAGTCGAGGACCAACAATCACCTGTAATTGTAATGAGAAAATCATTTTATTATTTGAGGAAAAGAAAGAGGAAAGAAGAAAACAAAAAACAAAAGGAAAAAAATGTTAGTGCGAGGCATTATCTTCTATTTTGTCTACTCAATTATTTTCATTTCTATTCTAACCAGTTGAGCCCCTACAAAATGTTTCACGTCGTCCACACGCCAGATGCATACATCGCAAGAGGGAGATCGTGGATATAGAATGGATTGTTTTGAACTTCATCAAAGCAGATTTTATCTATGCTAATTAAGATGAAAATGAATTTTTATCTATGCTAATTTTTACTTGTCGATTTCTATTTATGTTGTTGTATTTGATATATTGGTTATGTTATTTCAAGATATTCAAGTTATCTCTAGGTCCTAGGAGAACTTTTAATATTTACGTCAACTAATACTAATTATATAACGATGATGCTTAATTAATTTGTGCACAAAACAACCAAGTACAATAATTGGTATTCCTGACAGAAAACATGATAGTGTTATGGAAAAATAAAGTAAAGAAAAGTACGCAGAGAAACTGATATATTATTCAAATTTCAAACGTACATAATGAACTGCAATCTCTTCTATTTATAGAAGAAAGGAATATGTTGTGTAACCTGCTTGTAAGTTACTACTATACCAGATATAGATAATCTTCTACCGGGGGTGATGTTTATTCATAACGGGGCACCGAAAGGATAAGCTTATTGTACCAGATATAGATAATCTTTTACCGGGGATGATGTTTATCCATAACGGGGTACCGAAAGGATAAGCTCATTGGCCTAGATATAGAAAATCTTCAACCGGTGGTGATGTTTATCCATAACGGGGTACCGAGAGGATAAGCTCATTGGCCTAGATATAGAAAATCTTCAACCGGTGGTAATGTTTATCCATAACGGGGTACCGAGAGGATAAGCTCATTGTACCAGATATAGAAAATCTTCTACCGGTGGTGATGTTTATCCATAACGGGGTACCGAAAGGATAAACTCATTGTACCAGATATAGAAAATCTTCTACCGGTGGTGATATTTATCCATAATGGGGTACCGAAAGGATAAGCTTCTTCAGGAGGCTTATTTCCAATATAGCACTAAATAGATAAACATATTTACGGTGGAGTCCCATATAGATAAGCTTCTTCAGGAAGCTTATTTACAACGGAGTACTAAATGAACACCTATAATATAATATATTTATAGCACTCCCCCTTGGATGTCCATTAAAAGATAATGTGCCTTATTAAAACCTTACTAGAAAAAACTACGTGGGAAAAAAACTTAGTGAAGGAAAAAGAGTACACATATTTAGTAATACGCATAAGTCGCATAACTAGTTGTCTCATTAAAAACCTTATAAGGAAAACCGTGTGGGAAAAACCTTTAGTAAGGGAAAAAGAGTATAACGCGTATTTTACTCCCCCTGATAAAAACTTTGTTTCAAATATTTGAGTCTCCGCATTCCAATCTTGTATACCATTTTTTCAAAAGTTGAAGTTGGCAAAGATTTAGTGAATAAATCTGCCGGATTTTTACTTGAACGGATTTGTTGCACATCAATGTCACCATTATTCTGAAGATCGTGTGTGTAGAATAATTTTGGTGAAATGTGCTTCGTTCTATCTCCTTTTATAAATCCTCCATTTAATTGGGCTATGCATGTAGCATTGTCTTCATATAAAATTGTGGATCTTTTATCACATTCCAAACCACATTTTCCTTGAATAAAATGAATCACTAATCTCAACCATACGCATTCCCTACTTGCTTCGTGAATAGCCATTATCTCAGCATGATTTGAAAAAATAGCAACAATAGATTGCTTTGTGGAGCGCCATGATATGACAGTACCTTCACATGTAAACATGTACCCGGTTTGAGATCGAGCTTTATGTAGATTAGATAAATAACCTCCATTTGTATAACCAACAAGATCTGCACTACCTTTGTTAGAATAAAATAAACCTATATCAAGTGTTCCCTTTAAATATCGCAATATATGCTTAATCATGTTCCAATGTCTCCGTGTAGGAGAAGAGTTATATCTTGTTACTAGATTAACAAAAAATGCTATGTCATGCCTTGTAGCTAGGGGTGGGCGTTCGGTCGGTTCGGTTCGGTTTGAAAAAATTCGGTTCGGTTATTTGATTTTCGGTTTTGTAAAAGTAGTAACCAAAATCGAACTAAAATAAGTTCGGTTCAGTTCGGTTTTCTAATTTCGGATTGGTTTATTTCTAATCGGTTTTCGGTTTGAACATTATCATATTGAGCTCTTTTTATGTAATAATTGGACTGACGAATTTGTTGGTTTTCTTTTAAAATTTCGGTAAGTTAAAATAAAATGGTAAGTTTTGTTAGAGTTAAAAGTCTTAAGGAATGGGTAATTAGGAATAGCCGATTGGGTTACTTATTTGGATTGGGTCTTTGATGGACTTCAAAATTGGGCCTATATTATTACCTATGGGCTTAACCTATATATAACTCTATATGCTAATAATTCAGTTTTTCGGTTAACCGAACCAAATAAATTAATAACTGACAACCGATCCGAAAAACTGAAATTTTAAAATTTTAAACTGAAACCGACCGAAAAAATCGAATAACCGAAACCGAAATATAAATATTTTCGGTTCGGTCGGTTTCTTCGGTTCAGACTAAAATATGCCCACCCCTACTTGTAGCATTATCAAGATACATAAGTGCACTAATTGTACTAAGATAAGGTATTTCGGGACCAAGGAGTTCCTCATCCTCTTCTGGAGGTCGAAACAAATCTTTATTCACTTCAAGTGATCGAACAACCATTGGTGTACTCAATGGGTGCGCTTTGTCCATGTAAAAGCATTTTAAGACTCTTTCTGTATAAGTATATTGATGGATAAAGATCTCGTCTGCTAAATGTTCAATTTGCAGACCAAGACAAAGTTTTGTCTTTCCAAGATCTTTCATCTCAAATTCTTTCTTAAGATATTCAATTGCCTTTTGAAACTCTTCTGGAGTTCCAACAAGATTTATGTTATCAACATAAACAACAAGTATAACAAATTCTGATGCCATTTTCTTTAAAAAAAAATACATGGACAAATAACATCATTTATGTAACCCTCTTTCAGCAAATATGCACTAAGGCGATTATATCACATGCGCCTAGATTGATTTAAACCGTACAAAGATATTTGTAATCTGATTGAGTATATTTCACGATACTTTGAACTATATGCTTCAGGTATTTTAAATCCTTCAGTGATCTTCATATAGACTTAATCAAATGAGTCATATAGGTTATGACTTGTATTTAGATGGCATGACATCTTCAGGTGTCTGGACTACATGTCTGATCCTCACAATCTTTTACAATATTATGTACTATATTGTATCAAATATATCGTCGACAATCATTTTGTATCGGTTCGCAATCGACATAACTTGTTGAGATTTCATCGCTTTCGTACCTGAACTTCTTCTGGAGTTTCATGAAATGTTATGCCATGGGCTCCTCTAGAGCTTATTTCCTCCTTATTATGATTATTTTGATCATTTGCTCCTATCATTTTTCAATGATTGTTACCTTTGGAACCGATCGGTTTACTACGCTTCATGCGTGCAGTAAATTTTATCCTTCAGGGACTTTAATTTTAATAGGAGCATTTGCAGCTGAAATATGATAATTAATTTTGGATCAACAAATGTTTCTGGCATTTGACTTGAATTGTCTCCTGAATGAGGATCACACTAATGATAATTTGATTCATATAACATATTTTTCAACTGCTTATTCCATCCCCCTAATGTTAGAAAAACTAACATATATCCCAAATCTTTTTTGGGAAACCTATCTTTGTGCTTTGTGGTAGAGAAATTAATCATATACCACGCATCAAAAGTTATTAGACAGTAAAAATATTTGGTTTCAGATCTTAAACCAATTGTGAGGGGATGACTTATCATATATATATGCAATTTAGAAAATCTTAGACTAACACATGAAGCTTTGTTCTCATAAGCAATAGTTTAGCCATTAATATGAGGTATTAAATGCTAAACCAGCTTGGATATAAACTAGCGTTATCAAGATGAACTGTTTTAATTTCATAATCTGAAAATTATGCTCTTAATTGAGAAAAGCAATTCAAATGCCAAACTGCAGGTTGACAATAATCGCACATGTAACCATCTCATATATGCATCTATAAGCGGTTCACATGATAGGTGAATAGGCACATTTTAACCTTTTATATATTTCAGAATTAGGGGTCTTAGTCCCAACTTTGGCTAGTATAATCATATTATTATGAGAACAAGCAACATAACAAAATTCTTGAAGAATCTTCTAGTTCTTCAATATATGTTTATCGGAATTCTTAATTTGCTCATCATATTTAAACCAGATGGCAAATAAAAACTTCTAGTTTATTATGGCATGTGCTATCTTTTAGTAAACTTTTGGTTTACTATGGCACAAACTTTTATATCAGTAAACTTCTGATTTACTGTGGCTACTTTTGTATCAGCGAATTTCTGATTTACTGTAGCTACTTTTGCCTCAGTAAAACTTCTGATTAACTGTGACTGCTTTTGCATTAGTAAACTTCTGGTTTACTGTGATACATGATATAGTACAAATTAAAAAATAAGACGGGTCACATACATATTATTTTACCCCCTATGATTGTGGAAACATGAAGATTTTCAATCTTCCAATCATTTGTAGTCTCAATATGATAGTCATTTGTATTAGTAAACTTCGGGTTTATCATAACATATATTTTAACCATAATCATATAATATGAATGACATATTTGTATATAAGCTCTTCGAGAGCCTTCATTTATTATCCACAATCTAATATTATTCGGACACTACTTGTGTCATGTTTTTTCTAGACAAATAGTTAGCTCTTCAGGAGTTTTTGATACATTTTGTACTATCAAATATTGCTCATACACTTCTGGTATCATGAGAGAAAATCATAATCAAATGAACAATATAAAGACAATTCTAAACTTATAAATATCATAAATTAAGAATTTTAGTATTTTTACCAACTTTGTGACAAATGTCTCTTTCAGGGAGAAATGCCATTAACATCTGAATATTTTATATTAAAGCCGCAACCACATAGTCATTACATCCTTCAGGGAAAGATACACGAGTTGTTATTTATAGTTAATAACAACTAACCATAAGATATCGATGTGATTATAATAGAAAGTATTCTACAAGAATCCTTTTGTCTTAGAATGAAAAAATTTCAAAGATGTTTGAGGTACAACAGCTACGTGCGGCAATGATCTTTATTCCACAAAAATAATATTTATATCCTTTATTATTCTACCTCTTCAGGAAGTGAGTTGTAATATTTCTTCATTCACTCCAGGGAATGAAAATGTGCTTCAAAAATAACTTTGAATAACTCATGATTTTGTTTAAGTACATAAAGACACTGCTTTAAAATATTTTCTTACTTTAGGAGAAAATTTCAATTGTTTTACTACTTCAGGAGCAAATTTAAAATACAAAATATTGAGTATATATTTTCTCAATCATATTACCTCTTCTGTAGGTGAATTGTAATATATTTACATCAAGAGCGTGTTCATATTTACGGCTTTATTAATATTATCACATTCACTTCAGAGAATTGATTAATATTTATAAAAAATTCTCATCCTTCAGGAAATCGAACATAATTATCTGAACGCGCATTAATCACATCAAATTGTGATGCTTCAACCTCTTTTAAAATATTTACTACTTTATGAGAAAATCGAGGCGTGCATGTAATATAGAGAATATTTCTCTAGCTTATCTTTAATTGTAACAATAGAAAGCCTAAATTATCACTTCTGGTGGTCATAGGCATATACCACTTCTGGTGGTTAACAAAATTTAGTTACAATGAGATATATGAAACATAACCACTTCTGGTGGTTGTATACTTCTTGTAAACTTTGCTGGAGTTAAGTGGATCTAACAATGTTATCCACTTTGTAATCCTTTATTAAGAAAATAAGGATGAAAACAAATACCAAAAGGTACTGTATGCGTAGCATATAACCAAACAAGCGATGATAAAGATTTTAAACTAAATATAAGCAAAATACTCAAATTACTTTACACAAATTTGCTCACTCCAGGCGTAAGTGATATCCACATTACTACTGCCAAGAAGAAAAGCTCACCACCTCATGGATATAATCTGCCTTATGATTATCGGAATGAACAAGATCTAACCACGGACGTAAGAGCGTCGCCTTACATCGGAAATGAACACTGAAATAGAAATTAAATTCGAAGTAAGCGCTCAAAATGGCAGAGTCTCGTGCTTATAACGTGTTATGAAATAAAGAATGTAAAGAAAGACAAGTATAGAGAGAAACTAATATATTATTCAAATTCCAAACTTATGTACATAATGAACTGAAATCTCCTCTATTTATAGAAGAAAGGAAGTTGTTGTGTAAGCTGCTTGTAAGCTGTTACTATACCAGATATAGATAATCTTCTATCGGGAGTGATGTTTATCCATAACGGGGTACCGAAAGGATAAGCTCATTGTACTAGATATAGATAATTTTCTATTGGGGGTGATGTTTATCCATAACTGAGTACTGAAAGGATAAGGTCATTGTACTAAATATAGATAATCTTCTACCCGGGGGTGATGTTTATCCATAACGGGGTACCAAAAGGATAAGCTCGTTGTACCAGATATAGATAATCTTCTACCAGTGGCGATATTTATCCATAACGGGGTATCGAAAGGATAAGCTGCTTCATGAGGCTTATTTCTAATATAGTACTAAATAGATAAATATATTTATGACGGAGTCCCATATAGATAAGCTTCTTCAGGAAGCTTATTTACAACGGAGTACTAAATGAACATCCATAATATAATATATTTATAATATATAGTACTATATTGTAAAGGCTCGGGCAAAATATAAAACCATATTCAGCAAAAATATCGAAATACAATCACCTTTCTGTATCAACAGCAGAATATGAGTTCAACTAAAGTCATATTAAAGCATCTTTTTTCTTATATTTTTCTTCGTGTATGAGAAAAACTTACTCTCCTAGTTATGCTATTGTAAATTTGTGGACTACTCAACTAACCAGATCTAGCGACATGCAAATTAGTCGACTATCATTTTTCTAGAGCATGAATTCTATATGAGAGAATGAGAGAAGAAGAAAAAATGAGGAAGAAGGAGAACTCTGTATTTCGTTAGAATAACAATCACTTTACAATTAAGTGCTTAACAGTGCATTTATAACAAACACTGCCTTGTTAAGTAACCGCCCTAACTGACTAACCCTTCTAGTTTCTTTAATTGCTAAATGACCCCATAACTACTCAAGTCATCATTTCTGCACTTCAATACTCCCCCTCAAGCTGGAGAGTGGAAGACATCTAACACTCCCAGCTTGGACAGTAATAGATGATATTGTGCAGCTCCCAAACCTTTGGTCATTAAATCTGCTAGATATTGCTTGGTGGATACATACTCAGTGGTTATCAGTCCTGTCTTGATCGTTTCCCTCACAAAATGACAATCAATTTCTATATGCTTGGTTCACTCATGAAATATGGGATTAGCTGCTATTTGCAAAGCAGCTTTGCTATCACAGTGCAAGTGCACTAGTTTGATCATACTATTTCCCAGTTCTTCTAGTAAGCCAACCATCCAAACTGTCTCTGCAACTGCTGTAGCCATGCTCCTATATTCTGCTTCTGCTGAGCTTCTACTGATTGTTTGTTACTTCTTAGACTTCCAGGACAACAGAGAGTCTCCTAGTTTGACAATGTATCCCGTAGTTGATCTCCTAGTATTTGGATATGCTGCCCAGTCTGAGTCATAAAACACTGTCAGATTGTTTGCTTCTCTTTTCTTCAGCAGTAAAACCAAGCCTGTGGATCCCTTGATATACCTCACCACTCTTAAGATTGCATCTAAGTGTGATTATTTAGGATTCTGCATAAATTGACTCAATACTTGCACAACAAAGCTTAAATTTAGCCTTGTAATGGTCAAATAAAGCAGCTTTCCTATCAGTTTTTGGTATTTTCCTGCATCCTCCAATTGCTTATCTTCTGTATTCCCAACATGGTTGTCATAGTCCACAGTAGTTAGCTTATGATTGAGCTCCATTGGAGTTGCCACTGGCCTGCATCCACTCAAGCCTGCCTCTGAAATGAGTTCCATTGTATATTTCCTCTGGTTCAATACAATTCCTCCCTGTGATCTTAGAACCTCTATTCCAAGAAAGTATCTCAACTCCTCTAAGTCTTTCATTTTGAAATTGTGATGAAGAGTCTTCTTTACTTATGTAATCATATCGAGAGAATTCCCAGTGATCAACAAATCATCCACATACACCAAGATGATCACAATGTTCTTGCCACATTTCTTGGTAAAAAGTGAATGGTCATATGAGCTTTGAAAATAGCCAGCTTGCAGTAAAGCATTTGAAAGCTTAATATTCCATTGCCTTGAGGCTTGTTTCAAATCATAGAGGGATTTCAACAATCTACATACCTTGTACTCCCCCTGTTTGTGAAATCCCAGAGGTCGATCCATATAGACCTCTTTTGTGAGATCACCTTGTACGAAGGCATTATTGACATCCATTTGAAACAATGGCCAATATTTGGAAGCAGCAACACTAATAACTGTTCTCACTATAACCATTTTTGGCTACATGTGAGATAGTCTCATAGTAATCCAATCCAGCTTGTTGCTTGTAGCCTTTAGCCACTAACCTTGCTTTGAACCTGTCCACCTTTCCATTTGCCTTGTATTTTATTTTGTATACCCATTTTGAGCCTATATCTTGCTTCCCAATAGGAAGGTCTATAATCTCCCAAGTCTGATTATCTTCTAGTGCCTGTATCTCTTGCTTCATTGCCTCTATCCATTGTGGATCCTATGCTGCCTCTTTGAAGGATTTAGGTTCCACAAGAACTGAGAAAGCTTGTAAATAAGCTTGATATGCTGTGGTAAGATGATCGTACCAAACATGATTGGAAATTGGAAACTTGCAGTTTCTAGACAGCTTTGTAGTAGTCACATAATCCTTCATCCATATGGGAGGAGTTGTCTTTCTAGGTTCTCTTTGAACAGGTTGTGTAGGTAAGTTTGTTGTTGCTGGGGCATGCTCTTGCTCAGCAACAGATTCTACAGGAAGAACTTCTTCTGATCCCTCTCTTAATGCTGAATTTGGAGTATCCATTTGCTCTAGTGGTGCAAGGATTGGGGCTATTTCTTCTTGTTCCAAGTCTGTAGAGGCATCATCACTTTCATGAGAGCTAATGGCATCCTGATTCATAAATGAACCAGTGTTTTCTTGAGCTATAGATTGTATGGGTGTTGGATCAGAAATGGGCTCTTCCGGTGAGATAGGCACCTGGTGAAACATATCATCAGCTTCAACACCTATATCCTTGAAAAGAAATCTTATTTCTTGAAAAACCACATCCCTGCTTACAAAAAATGAATTATGTTCAAGGTCATACACTCTGTAGCCCTTTTGTGTTTCTGAATACCCAATGAATACTGCCTTCCTAGCCCTGGGGGCAAACTTATCTCCCCTAGGCAAGGCTGCTGCATGACAATGGCAACCAAACACCCTTAGATGATCAACCTTAGGTTCCTAGCCATATAACAGTTTATAGGGAGTTCTTCCCTTTAAAACTGGTGTAGGCAGTCTATTGATTACATATACTGCAGTCTTAACACAATCTCCCCAAAACCTTATAGGAACTCCACTTTGAAATTTCAATGCTCTAGCCACCTCTAAAATGTGCCTGTGCTTTCTTTCCACAGTTCCATTTTGTTGTGGTGTATAGGGGCAACTAGTTTGATGAATAATACCATAAGAAGACAACAAGATATCACACTGTGCATTACAAAATTCTGTCCCATTTTCAGATCTTAAATACTTGACATTAGCACCAAAATGATTGTTTATTATCAGCAGAAAGATTTTCAGAACTACACACACTTCACACTTTGATTGTATCAAACATGCCCAAGTGTATCTACTGTAATCATCTACTATTGTAACAAAATATTATTTCTTGTCATAAGTTGGAACCATGTATAGTCCCCAAACATCCAAATAAAGAAGTTGGAAGATATTAGTCGAATTTGAAACACTAGTTGGAAATTTCATCCTACATTGTTTTGCAAGAGGACATACATCACAAGATCTTGTTTCTACAATATTGATTTTATTCTTCAAAGCTGATAAGTGTTGTAGATTTTATTGAGGCATGTCCCAATCTGTAGTTCCACAAGACTGTTTCTGCTCCTTCCTTTGCAATTGTGCCTGCCACCAGTGCTTTATTTTTTGTATCTCTTTACTTTATTATGTACAATCCTTCATGTTCTCTACCAATCCCTAATACCTTGCCACTGTAGAGTCCCTGCAACACACAGAAGTCAGGGTAGAAGGCAGCCAAACAACTGAGGTCTTTGGTGAGCTTTGACACTGATAGCAAGTTAAATTTAAAATCTGGTACATAAAGCACATCTTTCACTTTCTGATTTCCTAGAATCTGTGCATTTCATGTATGTGTAATGTTTGAAGTCTTCCCTATTGGCAATTGTACACTCCTATATCCATCAATGATCTTAAGTGTATCTAGTAAGTCCATATTACAGGTTATGTGATGAGTGGCACCTATATTCACTATCCAATCTTTTTCTGTGGCATTGGACATTAATGAAACAATACATGCCATATTTGTGGAACATTCTGCACCTATAGGTTTGTTCAGCAATCCTACTAGTTGCTTGTATTGTTCCTGTGTCAGGTAATGCCCTTGTGGTTGACCTTCAGAGTTGCTGGTTTCTTCTGCACTTGCATTATTGGCAAATGTCTTGCTTCCTCCTACAACATGAGTCTTTTTCTTGCTTTTAAAATATGCTGGATATCCTACTATCTTGTAGAAATTTTCCTTTAAATGTCCCTTATATCCACAGTGTTCACATATTCCTATCTTTTTAGGTTTGTTATATTGAGGCCAACCTGCCATCACAGTCAATGGGTCCTTGTTCATATCAGCCCACTCTTAAAGCCCTTTGACTTTCTTCCTGAGTCACTATGGCATAAGCTTCATTCATACTAACTACATGCCTTTTCATCAACACATTGCTTCTCACATTACTATAGCTTTCATTTAGCCCCATAAGAAACTGCAACAAATGTTATTGCAATAGGTGTTCAAGTGATGGTCTAGATTCCTCACAGTCACAACCTGGTTTTGGTGCTAGTATGTCTAATTCATTCCACATATCATTCATATTCGAATAATAAGTGGTTATAGAATCCGTACCTTGCCTTAGTGATGCAATTTCTGCCCACAAGTGATAGATCCTAGTGAGATTGCACATGTCAAACATTTCCTTAAAATCACTCCATACCTTCTTTGCACTAGACGCGAACATGATACTCGGTATCAATTTACTCGCAACCGTACTACCTATCCATGACAATACAATCGCATTGCATTTCTCCCATTGCTCTGCTAACTCACCTCTGTACATGCCTTTTACACAGCTTCCGTCTACAAAACCAAGCTTGCTCTTTCCCCTAAGTGCTAGCTTCATCGTCCTACTCCACAGTGCATAATTCTCTGGCCCTGTAAGCTTAATTGGCACTAAAACTAGTCCTGGAGCATCTGATGCTTGGAGAAATGACGGATGATTGTGCTCTAGCTGTGTTACTTCATTTCCTGTCATTTTTATAGGTTTCAAGCTTCGTCAATGTCGATCTACCAGAAACTCAGTCGATCCGCTGGAATTTCACCACGAACTTGTCGGAGAACACTCTGATTTCAAGGAACTTGCTCTGATACCATGTAAATTTGTAGACTACTCAGCTAATCAGATCTAGCGACATGAAAATTAGTTGACTATCATTTTTCTAGGGCATGAATTCTATATGAGAGAATGAAAGAAGAAGAAGAAATGAGGAAGAAGGAGAACTCTGTATTTCGTTAGAATAGCAATCACTTTACAATTAGGTACTTAACAGTGCATTTATAACAAACACTGCATTGTTAAGTAACCGCCCTAACTGACTAACCCTTCTAGTTTCTTTAATTGCTAAATGACCCCCCCAACTACTCAAGTCATCATTTCTGCACTTCAATAGCAAGGAAAAAATAAAATGTATTAAGAAATAAGAGCAAAATAGAACAATATAGTAATGGAGACAAGATATATAAGAGGAGAATGTAAAAATTATCTTATAGTGTATTTTTTGTGTTTACTTCCATGGACAAAGAATGTCCTATTTATAGTATACAAGATAACACCTAAAGTTCACCAGATACATCTTAAGAATTAATAGGTACATCTATCTAAGTAGTACATTGAATAATATGTATGGATGGATTAAATGAACATCCATATACATTCACTTTATTTCATAACACTCCCCCTTGGATGTTCATTTGAAAAAGCCTAGTGAAGGAAAAAGAGTACACATATCTTGTAATACGCATTAAGTGCTACCTCATTAAGAACCTTACCAGGAAAACCCAATTGGGACAAAACCTTGGTTAAGGAAAAAAGAGTACAGCGCGTATTATACTCCCCCTGATAAAAGATTTATTTGATATCTCGGAGACGACGCATTCCAATCTTATATCTTAGCTTCTTAAATGTTGATGTTGGCAATGTCTTAGTGAATAAATCTGCTAGATTGTCACTTGAACGGATTTGTTGAACATCTATCTTACCATTTTGCTAAAGATCGTGTGTGAAAAAGAACTTTGGTGAGATGTGCTTTGTTCTTCTCCTTTGATATATCCTCCTTTAAGTTGAGCTATGCAAGCAGCATTGTCTTCATACAATATCGTTGGAATCTTCGTTTTTAAAGAAAGACCACACAATTGTTGAATATGTTGAGTCACTAATCTCAACCATACACATTCTCGACTAGCTTCATGAATAACTATTATCTCTGCATGATTGGAAGATGTAGCAGCTAAAGTTTGTTTTGTTGAACGCCATGAAATAGTTGTACCCCCACAAGTAAATAGATAGCATGTTTGAGATCGGGCTTTATGTGGGTCAGACAAATAACCTGCATCTACATAACCAATCAACTGTGAATCAGATTCATAAGAATAAAATAATCCCATATCAATAGTCCCTCGGAGGTATCTAAAAATATGCTTAACACCATTCCAGTGTCTTGTTGTTGGAAAGGAACTAAATCTTTCTAATAAACTTAGTGCAAAAGTTATATATGGTCGAGTATTATTTGCAAGATACATTAGTGC